ATAAGCAAATCCTGGAGGATGCGGCCCTGCACTGCTTGAGGATGAGGTCCAGGAAGGAGGTGGCCCTGGTGGCTCTGGAGGTTTTGCACCTCGTTTCCTTTCGGGCCAGGCTCTGCAAGCAACCAGTGGCTTTTGATACCTGGGCAGCTAGTTGGTACACATCTGTACAGTACTTGGGCAAGCATGTTACAATACACATACTTGAAAAGAAGAAAGCTTACTTGGAAGAAGAAAGCAGAACCAAGTAGCCCAGTGCAAAGGACGTCATTGAAAAGACCATTCAAAGCGCTGATTGCCCACACAAGGTCATCTTCCTGAGCTGTGGACTAAACAATTTGCTATCACATTCTTCTCTCACAACACAAGCAAAAATGAAGTGATCAACATTTGATCATTTTCATTGAATGGCTGGAAACTAAAGTAACATTCCTGATTGCATACAAGTGATAATCTTTCATTTGAATGGACACCCAAGTAACATTTGTGATATGATCCATATGACTTTTGTTATTGACTCAATGAAAACTCAAGTAACATTTCTGATTGTACCCATTCTGCATCAGCCAAGTGTCAGTGGAAAGGTCGCAGAACACTGTCTGATGTCTAGGGGTCATCACCCTATCCATCCTGCAGCATTGGAGGTCCAAAGGCTGCAGGCCAATCCCCTCCAAGAAAGACCTGATCTCCCACTTGTTGACGCTGAGCTTCACATTCCTGAGCATCAACCTTGGATACTCAGGAGCCTGCTCAGGCATGGCACCGGCGCACTTCATGGTTGAAGTGAAGAAACCCAAATGGTGTACATTTTTACATTACAAGATCAGGTATGTTCACCTTTGTGGCAGCATTAGTTTGAAGGCCTTTAGAAGTCCAACATCTTGAGATATCTATGGTGCTGGAACATGTTGAGACATGTTGACCTTTGACCTTGCAGCCTGCATGAAAAGCCTTGAAACAGGGTATATAATGTCTTGAACCATGTTACTGTAAACATAAAACTGACCCTGTAAGGCTGCATAGAAACATTCACATCACATGTTGACATGTTTGAATGACTGTCAACAACAAACATGCACTCAAAAAACTCAATCACAACAAAGTGTGAACAGAATGCAAAGATATAAGTCTATCAGTCTCAAGTAACTTCTCTCAAGTAACATGTGGCCTTTAGCTACAGTCAGAAGCCAACCAGTCTCACAGGTAAGATCTCAAGTAACAGGTGGCCTCTAGCTACAAACAGCAACAACAACCAACCAGTCTCACAAAAGTAAGATCACAAGTAACTGGTGGCCTCTAGCTACAAAAACAGAAACCTACCAGACTCACAGATAAGATCACAAGTAACAGAGATGGCCTTTCTCCTTTGCGGCATCCCATTGATGAGACACAATGGGTTCAAGACCCTTCTGCCCAAAGCATACCCTAGTTTGGGTGAAGGTCATCCCAAATCTTGCCAGCTTCCTCACTGGCCTTACATCTTCTTTTGATTCTCTCTTCTTTGGAGAGGCCACACTTCTTTGCCAGTTGATCAGCCCTGTGCCAATGTCGGCTCACATAGAGATTTCGATAGGTATCCTCCATGGTCGGCATGTCAACAATGACATAGTCTGCACTCAAGGTCTCAGGCTTCTTCACAGCAATCTTGCCAGCTGGCTTCTTCACTGCAATCTTGCCAGCAGGTTTCTTTTGTTTCTTTTCAGGTTTGCATGCATTCTTTTTCTTCTGGCTGCCTGACTTCTTTTTGGGACTTTTCTTCTTCTGTTTGGATCCAGATTGCTTCTTCTTGCCTTCAACCTGAGTGGGCACAAAATGCATAGCTCCTTCGAGAATCTCAGCATCGGTCAAAAATTGGGCAGGCTTCTTCTTCTCTTCCACAGATGAAGCCTTGCCAGCCAAGATCTTGCCAAAGATGGGAGGGGTCTCAGAAATCTGCTCCAAAGCGCTTGGAGAGAATTGCATTGACCTTCGAAGAGATTGGTTGGCTTTGGTCTGCACAGGCACCAAAGACCTTTGAGGTGTTTCCACCACAGGTGCGGGAAGTGCAAGCACAGGTAAAGAGTCAGCGCCAAGGTCTCCATCTCCTTCATCCAAGATGATCTTGTCCAAGCACATCTGGACTTTGGTTTGCTCATCACAAGTGAGAACTCTAAAAACACGGTTTTGAAGACTTGCAGACTTTTTCAGTTCCCTGTACATGTTCAAACCAATCCTCAGCTTCAGGTCAATGGCATCCATGGCATCGTCCTTCTGGCCAAGGTGTTGAGGCAAGATCAGGTTCCTTTGCTCATGCAAGCCAACCAAGGCCTTCTTTACACGTGCTCCCAAAAGTTTCGTGTTTTTTGCATATTCAAAAATGTCATAGGCAAGGCCACTGAGTTTGACAACCCATTCTGGGTTCACAGGTGACTGCCAGGTGACATTGATCATACCCTGGGGTGGACTAATTAAGCGCCACAAATCCTCGCATCTGTGATGCTTCATGAAAGCATCCAGGGTGTTGGAAATATCATTCACTGAAATTGATGGATCAGCTACATTTCTTTTGCTGTGCTTGGCTGCCTCAGCCTTTTGCTCCTGGAGCAATTTCTTTTTCATTTCCAGAGCAGCTGCAAGACCAGCCATGCCAAACTACACAGGGGAGAATGCTAGACTGACAAACTAGGCTACACAGTATGCTCCAAATGACTGCAATGAACACAAGATCTGGATGAACAGAGTCTCAAGTAACCTTTGGATAAATTCATCTGCATGTATGATATGCAAAAGTAATTGATGTAAGCAAGTGATGTTGACTGCAAGTGTCTGTCTGGCACACAAGTAACTCAACTAAAACACAAGTAACTGCCAGAAGGCTAGATTCAGACTGAGCAACAAATGCAAACACAGTGGCCAGCTTGCACACCTTTGGCATTCTAACCAAAGTAACTTTGAATGCATCAATGGTCCAATAGCTTTTGAGACAAGTGGTGGAAAAACCAACTGCCTTCTCACAAACAAACAACCAGTGGGAACCAATGCATTCATGACTGCAAGCCTGTGACATGAGTCAAAAGTGAACAAATTTGGTGACATTACTCTTGCAAAACCTTAAACACAGCCAACAACAACAAGAAAACAACAAAACCAACAAAACAACACAAACAAAACAACACAGAAATAACAGAAACCACACAAAAAACAACATATGACAACACATGTTTCACATACTAAAAAAAATTACTAACCTTACTAAATTAAATTACTAGCCTTACTAATTTAAATTACTTGTCTTACTAAAATTTACTGTGGAAAAATTACTTTGATTTTTTTACTAATTTTTTTACTTTACTAATGGAAATTAAGTAATTGTTTGGCCTACTAAATTTAGTTGATCCGCAGACTCAGGGTTGCGAGACGGTCTCGGGTCATTCTCGGGCATGGTCGGAATCGTCCGTCCATTGGGATTAGAGTTTTCACTTGTTTCTTGAAGTGCAGATTTCGTGGCAGGCACAACACTTTGTGAACCTCCATGTGCAGATTTCATGGCAGGTGCAGCACTTTGTGAACCTCCATGTGCAGATTTCGTCGCAGGTGCAGCACTTTGTGAACCTCCATGCGCAGATGTCGTGGCAGGCGCAGCACTTTGTGAACCTCCATGTGCAGATTTCGTGGCAGGTGCAGCACTTTGTGAACCTCCATGTGCAGATTTCGTGGCAGG